TGTTTTGTAATATCACAGGAGCAATCGATACGCGTAGCGATGTTCTCTCAGAGGCATCCTTTTGAATCCTAGCTCCTGCTTCCTACTGCACTTCGTCGTTAGTGCATGTAGACGCTTCTTGCCTGTGCTATTTCAACTGGATATCGCGTTCCTATAAAGCGTACGCTCTCAAAAAATTGTACTGCGTATATTGTTGTTATCGTTAATGAGTAAATAGTACAGCTCTGCGGAAAAGAGTCCTTGCTTAAAGATTTCTTAAATCCACCGCGTAGCAGCAAATGTATAACCGCATGAATTATATAGTATTTCTGAGTGGAGCTGCACTCTGGAAAGCTCTCGCCATAAAATGTGTGTTTTCTATCGATGTGGAGCCAATACTGACGCGTGGGTGGCCGCGTCATACATACACTTGTGTGTATCTGTGCCACATATAATCAAGTGCGGGAAAAAATGGGGGTGCCAATACTGCATAGTATTGAAAATTTTGAAATTTCTTAAAATTCTGTTTCAGAAAATAGCTGTTTGATAATTGTGCGAAAATATAACTAGGCAAGAAGAGCTGGCGTTGGATATTGTTCATTGGTCGAAAAAAATATGCTGAGCATTGTGCATACATCTGCGATGTCTGCTATTATTTGCTAGTTATTTCAAATTGCAATGAAGATGTAACTGTGTAACTTCGAAAAGTCAACAATATCGACAAGGAACAAAACAACTGACTCGTTTGGAACTTAAACCGCGGGTTTGACCCGTTTCAATTTCTCGTTTTAGCTACACCTTACAGAAAACCTGAACGAAATACGCTTCCGGGCAGGGTTACTCATAGCTCGCCATCCTTCATTACGGATTACTATTAAAGTGTTATTAATTATAATAACGGAACAGGTTTCTTTTTTTCGTGGATCAGACTCATGGCCGAGGTCGTGAAGAAATACTTGCAATAATGAAATGAATCAGTACACTTAGTCGAGCATACACATGATTTGATTATACGATTGATAGAGATTGTATCGTATTGATTGTTAGATACAAGTAGTTCCCAAACTGACGTGGTAGTACGAAGAAACGTAAAAACGTCATGGAAAATTGGCGTTATTTTTCCTTCCTCTCGATAGGCTTATGAACCTGCATAGCCTAACACTCTCTACGACTTGTACTATTATTGTACATTAATGTTTCTATACTACCGATCGCGAGTGAAAGGACACACTCCAGTATCATAATGCCAGTATTATCTTCTGACCTAGATGGGCTGTACCAGCCAATCTATTCGTAACATTGTTTTCAAAGGCTCGGTAAAACCAGAGAAGGGCTAAGTGGATGCTTCAAAAGTCCTTGCAGGGAACTAGCACATATAATACGTACGTGTAATGGACCTTGACACATCACAAATCAACTTTAGAGTCTAGTAACTGCCGGGCGATTGGCGATAACTAGTGTTTGCCTAACGTTTCTAGCTTAGAAGTTTTCACAAATTAAAATTGAGAAGCAAAGGATGACCCGCATACTGTACGCTCAAAACGCATCAGATCTTATCTAAAAATTTATGCTCAAGAAAAAAACGACTATGCTTAAGTTAAAATGCGTTACTTTTTTTGTTAAAACAATATATATATATATTTGACGCCCGCCTATCATGGCCACGCGACAAAACCAATTCGATTTTTGCCTACTTCAAGACTGAGCGAAGTTCGTGGGTATATAGTATTTCGGTTTACAGAGTACCCAGCGTCGATTTTCTAATAAAAGGCAGATAATAAACACACAGTTGCTGAGAAACTCCCACAGTTCTAGCTTTATTGCGTATATAGTAAAGGCCACTACACCCCAAAGAACCGCGATTCTACGTTTTGTATGATCTAAAACTATTCAGTTCCCTTTAACATTAGAACTAGAACGTTACTGTTAGAGTCCATCTGCGCAGTTATAGATCGGTAAACAGTAGAAGTAGTATCAAGAGTCGTGGCTGTGACCGATGACATTTGCGTTAAATGCAACCATAGGTTAACCGGCTTGTCTCGTGACCTCGCGTAGACTCACCCGTGTCATCCGTAATCAGCGGCTTAGGCCCTAGCAGTACCGCCAGTGGGCTTTAACGCATTACAGCAAAAAATAGGTGCAGTTTTATGGGAGTCTCAGACTCAACCGCTTTCGACCACCCCTTAAACCTCTACGCCAAGGCATTCGTATGGCGGACGCGTCTCGTCTAGCCATATCAGACTTCAATATAACCGCTGTACTACGTCAGCTCGGTGTAGTCAGCTCGTGCCAAGCGTAGCAAGTTCTCTTTCACTGCAAAACTTACTATAGTAATGTTACAATTACTTGTTACGTATGGAATAAACTTCTATAAGATACGCTAATGGAAATCTAACCGTATGTTAGTAGCGATCGTATTAACTAGTCAATTTAATATCTGTAACATAACTAAGTGTATAGGTGTTCCGTGATAGCCCCTGCACTTTCGCTCTGCGTCCTGTTTATCACAATTTTTATTTCCCAAGCGTTAGCGTTTGCTATATTGCAGATGCATTGTATGCGTGGAGGTGCTAGTGTAGGTTCGGGCATGACAAGAGTTTTCGCATACATTTAACAGCGGTGACAGGGGCTGGCAGCGAACAGCCCTCACGGCAACGTTTGTTGTTATTGTTTATGTTGCAAGGGGTTGACGGTGGGGCAAACGACGTTACTAGGTCGACGTGTTGAGCTGCAACCATCACCGAAGAGGTGCGGTTTTTTTAAGTCTGTTCAGACGTTCGCTGCGTTCAGACGAAGCGTGGGTGTGATGCTGTCGAGTGGATCACGGAAAGGCTACAGCGACAGAAAGAAAAATAGAATGAGAGAGAGGTGACTAGGATGAAAAGGACGTTTACATAAGCAGAGCGGATAAGGCAGACATATTCAGACGTGGGGTTCCCTAGAGAAGCATCTAGGAAGCTTAGAGAAATGGCCATTTAAGGGTTATTTACATACTAATGCTATCTGGGCGGCAGGGTAGCGTATGCTAATGTAGAGACGCGAATACGCGCATGCGCCCACGACAAGTCGCTGAGCACTGCTCTGAATAAAATATGATAATTCAATACGTCTACCGTACCCTGGCGCTAGTGAAGTGTCAACAAAATATATCTCGTATAGATTTTGTTTATGTTGTACTTTCACGTTGGCTGTAAATGCTGGCCTTTTTAAAAGCTTCGCCAGACACAGCGAGAACAGAATGAATCTAGACAAACGAACAAATCACATCCATTTACAGTTTATCGTTACATGCATTACACGCAAAACCTAATTACTCGGATGACTCGATCGATGTTTGTAAGTACAATGTTGTTTATAGTGTTGAAGAAAGTCGGTAGTACCGAAATTTCTCCCATAGTTGTTTGTGCAATAGAATCCCTGCAGAGAATAAAATGATTGTTATATCTACCTAGCAACTAATGGCTAGACCCACAATTGTCTAGTACGCGTGACAGCTTAATGCGTTACGTATTGGCTTGCTGATGTTACGAACACGGGACCTTCGTTCGAATCCGAAAATAGACAGACTTCGTTTCGTGCTAGGAACCAGTCAGTTTCCCAGCTCGTCCTTATTAGCTAAATTTTATTTCTATAGTTGGGCGATACATTGTATATCTATATACCTAAGTAAAAATACGCGTATTTTATCATCAGAGTCTCTATTTATTAGTAATAATATTGACTGTAGCTTTATTACCTATTTTTGTTTAGTTATTTTATTTTTATACTTGTAGATAGATTATTTTTTATGTGAGATTATATTTCTTCCTCGTTTTACTGCTTCTTTTCTATTTTCTCCTATTAATCACGCAGCTTCCTTTGTAACATCTGATCTTCTCTTTTGAATTTGACCAAAAGCCATTTTTATATTGTTCTCTGAAGATGAACAATTATCATACAGGACATTTGCTATACTCGATACGTCCCTCTCGATACGTCCACAGTTTAGTATCGTCTAAACGAGAGCAACGTTTCAACACTGTCATTCAACGCCGTGACTCGCCTAGGATATATGGTCGAAATAATGGTATATAGCATTTAGTAGGGGTTATTATTACTATTTTTCTTCGTCTTCTTTGCGTATAGTAAGCTAATCCAATAATATACATACTTACATTACTCTTTGATCAATATTATGAATATCATTATTATTATTATTATCATTTAGTGTAGCTTGGTATTTTGGCTGCCTCACTTGGTCTGTTTTGCAGTTGGACTCGTCAAAGTCATCTCTCTCTCTCTCTCTCTCTACTCACATCTGTTGTTTTTTCATACGTTCCTTTACACATCCTCGGTCGTTTATTATTTCGTACTCTCTTCCTCCCCCCCCCCTCTCTCTCTCTCTCTCTCTCTCTCTCTCTATATATATATATATATATATATATATATATATATATATATATAATTGACACTTTCATTATTGATTATAGTTATAATGAATAACGACTGTCCTTTTTCAGGCTGGCCAGAACAAGTCACTGAAGCCACTTGCTCCGCTCAAATAGTGCCTGTTGATTGTATTGATCGCATATGGGTTTAACTGCGGTGTTCAATTGCTTGTTTTTCCACGAGGATAATTAACTCATACATTTAAATATCTATCGCGTTAGAGTCAAAGAAACTCTGGGCATTAAGATACGCTAGTAGGAAGTGCAGTATTAGCTATATTATAGATCGTATTATTGAGTTTAGATTGGTAATATAGAAAATGGCTAAGTAATTAAATAATGATGATTGAAGATTAGTAAAATCGAAATTGTGTGTTCCTCCTCCGGTCCTGTTTAGCGTCGCATGTCTACAGTAACGGAAACTGGATCATTTTTAGCGAACTCGTTCAATTTGTATACGACCACAATTTCGATTCTATTTGTTCTCTTATCTAGTACTTATGTCGACACAGGGCTGATGTTAGACCCACGTTAGGATATGCTTACTATGTGAATCTACGTGTGTAAGCTAGCCTAAAGCGTACGGCACGTTCTAAAAAAAAAAAACCATTATTACTGTTAGATGCATTAAGATTACGCCGAGTACTTCTTGAAGCCAGGCTTTTCGCCCTTTGAGAATAAGCTGAGCATCCAGCTATGCCTTACTGTTCTGTATTTTCGGCGAATATAATGAAATCTAGATACGATGAGAATGTCCAGTGCCTATATACTCATTGAAGATTTGCCTTTTATCAGTAAGCCGCTTCTAAGCCAAGTACGACTCAGTCCTGAGACTGAAACCTTTGTAGGTGTAATCCACTGATTAGGCCTAATGAAGATCTGCATGTCGACCTTTTGAATAGCATATCACTTCGTCTATAGTTATCTGTTGAGTGAAGTACTCTGAACTAAATAGAATTCGTTGCCGAGACAGATGACCACGTTCCTGCAAATCTCGGATTTTAATCTTCGAAGCCAAGACGGTTTCGGACATAGAATTGCGAATATGTGTAAAATGGGTCAGCCCATACGTTATTAACAGTGTTCAGTATTTATAATGCACAAAGGAAGTAGACGTTTTAGCTCTCCTACAAGTTCAACTCTGGGACGAGCAACTTAGACGGTTTAGTCGAAGCGAACCTTGTAACGAAAGCGCAACAATAATGAGACACTGGAAACTTGACAGAATGCTTACGAATACGTTTAGAAGGGTACAAGCAACTCTGTTAACTGCCCCTAGAAAGCGACGGCCGCTTAGCAAGTGCGTTGCGGAAATGAGCTTCACATGGGCTGAGCAATTCTGAAAAGATCCCGTTTGTTGCCGCTAGGGAAAATCGTTAAATTATCGTTATGGGAGCTGCGCGAGTACGCTTAAACTTCTTACCGAACGGAAATAGGCTATGACACGATTTTTGCGTACTTTGTACGACCTCGCTAAAGCCCTTCTATTCTCTATTCTAAAAAGGCTTCGGTATCCATGTGTACCAAACGTGTGTATAGAAAAATTCGAGGCCGAACACAAAGGCCGACAAACATTCATGCCTTGCGTAATTTATTTGGGTTTAGTACCTTATTGGCAATACGATAGGCGAAATGTTTCGTTATTTAACGAATATCCGTTTGCAACGGAAGCTACGGAACAACGACTGCCGCGTAATTGTGCCACGAGCAAATAGTTCGTTTATTTTCTTGTAAATAGTACGTTTGCACCAGTCGCATGTTAAAACGGGCCTAAGGTGACGTTTGATTGTCATTTGCTGTGAAGTGATGCGTGAGCGTAATATACGATAGTACCGTTTAGATCGATTGAAAAAAAAGTGTTGATATTGAGATGACAGGAAGAGAAATAGTACGAGAGGATAATGATCGGTCGGTTGGAATCGGACGGTGAGTGTGTCTGTTGATGTATATGTGTGTGTTTGTTTCTATTTAATGTATGATTATGTACAGTAGCTGTTGTAGAAGCTGATATGTTTATTTTTTTCGAGGTTACGAATGAAGACTACTGCTGAGAAGCCGAATTACTATTGATGATAGCCTTTGCTCTGTGTATAGAGAGTTCGGGTATTTGTTCAGCATATTATAAAGTATTGGTCATGATGAGGTCGTTCAATGTGAAACGTCATATAGCAAATTCAACCTCTCAACTTTTTTTTTCTACTTACTGGCTTAGTTCTTTTATATTTCGACTGAAATATTATCTACAACTTTCTACCTTTTGGAGGGATCTGATGTATGGAAGACTATGAGGCTTCGATAGGCGCTTTCGACATCAGGTTCAACCCTGAATGATTTTCCTGTTAAGAAGCTGTCGAGATTTTCAAACGAATTCTAGTCTGTGACAGCAACGTCTGATGAATATAGTAGAGATAACTCCTGCAGCTTTCTTTCTTGCCGCAAAAGCTACAGTTCTTACTGTATGAAGTTGAGCCTTGTCACGCAGTAAATGTGGTTCACCGTTGTTTGCTAATATTGACTGTTTAATACTGAGTATTTTCGTTATCAATTCCAATCGTTTATAGTACATTTCAACGTAACGAACAAACTACCACACACGGAGCTGTAGTGGGCAATATCTGTACTCGACCCCCCTAACAGACATCATGAGCCTTTGTAGCTGGTTCGATTGCATACGCCAACGAATGTGATCGTCTGCGGTTAACGCAGAGGACCCATTTTCTATCCCATGTCGCGATTCGGTACCAGAAGAGGTCGCTGTTGTAACATGAGAGTAACAAATCCTTCCTTCTTGACCTTAATTATTTAACCTAATTAAACCTGTGCATATTGAAATGAGTTGACTTCTACCATACATTTCAAGTATTTGTTGTTCACCTTCATTTTCTCCCATTTTCAAAATGTCTATCCCAAAATTTTCTAAAGTTTCTACTAGTAGTTCCAAGGTGAAACTTTTGTTTATATAGCACGCGAGTGGCTTATGGTCCATTTCAACTCGTCTGCTAAAAGCCCGAACGTGTGAGCGGTCTTAGACTTTGAACAATACAAATGTACCTCAATTATAAAACAAAGTCGCCAAGTGTCGCACCCTGATAACATAAAATCATCTTAAAATATAAGATTATTGCTTGTCACGCTTCGTACTGAACGACCCAACACTTGTGTGCAGTATATATAAAAATTTGTGTGAAAAAAGAAAGTTCGTAAGTGGGAAATACAGAAACCTCCTTCGGGAATACCTCTTGAGCTTCTGTTCTCAATTACACGCTTACCTATTTACTCTCTAGGTATCTTATGTTTTTTTTTTTTCGATTACAATGTATTTATCCAGTGTACTATTTCTTGTTAATTATACAAGGAGAAATGTTACGACTCACTAGCATATGTGTATATGTTTTTATACTTTCATATATTTGTTCCTTTAGTAATATGTTTAACAGTAACGTCCACGATAGTGTTATTCTGAACGTTTGCTCAGTGTCTCTACTTTTGCATGTATATATTAAGTAATTTTTCTTCTATAAGCTATAAGCTGCAATGTATTACGTTTTTTTTTTCTTCACAGTTAGATGTTTTCTAATTATAACAATATTTGGATTGATTGATATAACGTCTATACGTATGCCTTGTCTGTGTTTATGTATAGATTTGTGTTTATAAATACATAGATTCGTGTTGAAAGTGTCTCATGGCCTTACGTGTGTCTTGATATCTGTGCTCGTTTGTATAAAGTACAACTATTATGTTGGCAGCATCACTAGTGGCTCTACTTGAACGATATGTGTAACCTCTTCGTAGAAGATCTAAAATCGTACTGTTTTTTTTTTTGTTAGCATCATCAATGATATTATCGATTTAGTAGATAAGTCCATCATTTTGATTGTAAAGACATTTCTTCCTATCGAAAGCGTACTTTGTTTAATCCGAAATATACTTACTTGTCTGATAAGTTGTTGTAGTTTTGCGTTTACTCCTCTGGAAGGTTAACGTTGGTGCTCCGAGAAAATGGATTCGGTAAATAAAAAACCGAAATCACGCTTGAACCGTTGTTGGACAAATGAACAGTCACGAAGCACAATCAGGCGCTACTAAAATCATGATGATCAAATCGTGATAGTAATAATAACAATGTTTCGTTATGAGTAATAATATAATTATAAATAATTATGGTTTGGTGCTTTGGTGCCAGTGGTGTTATCTGGCGATGATTTAACTCAACGAGACGTATATAATTCTCAAAGGTGTTCGACTTATTGACGCAGACGACCCTCTTCGTCATCTTAAGCTTTGCTCCAGCCTCGCATTATTTTCTCTCTCTCTCTCTCTCTCTCTCTCCCTTCTGGTTCGCCCCATCTCGGTTCGTCGGTTTCGGTCCATAGCGGTTGGCTGAATATGTACAAGTATTTACACAACTAAGAGAGCCTGAGAATAATTCCAGGGTCTCCCGGAAGAAGCCTCTGAACGGCCACAACAAGTTTCAAAAGCGGTGAGTCTGTTTTCGCTTTAAGTCTAGACATTCTGATCCGCTGTTTACTTTACGCGTAAAACTAGTACGAGTAACACTTTCTTTACTGAGCTGACCCAATTGCTTCGATTAATCAAGAGCTGCCTGACGCCAACAGACCCAGCAGCTGATTTTTTTCGCTTCATTTGTTTTTGTTTTAAAAGGTGGCCGTTGAACCTTTGGAAAGTGCGAGCGCATCGTATTCGAAAGCAATGTTGCTTCTGCCTTTCGCGCTTTCTTTAACAGGCGTCACCATGTGAGAGACCCGAAGACACACTTAGCAACGGGGTTCGGCTCAACATACTGTTACTGTCTGGGTGAGACAGGTACCGTGACGTGCACCTCAATACAATACTATCGCATAGTTACTATGCTAATCTCATGATACTGTTGCCTGATTTCTTTATGTATGGTACGTTGGAAAGGGTTTTCGCAACTTAATGTGTCACAAATTTTGCTGAAATGAACTCATCGTGCATAGATTTACCTGTCACTTAGATGACAGAGCTAATCATATCCATAGCGTACCCATATGACCATTCATGAATCTTGACTTTGGACCTTAGAATACCTTAATCCTCAATATTCTCATTAGTTACTTTACTAAAAATCCACTTACAATGCCATGCACAGTAGTCACTTCAGTCTGAAAAGTCTGTGAACCGATTCAGTCATTACGTTGACTTCATCTGTAGTGGGTGCACTCTAAATGACTACTAATCTTCATTATGGCTTTCCTTGGCTGGTTCACCATTGGCTTTGGCGTCATTGGCGCTGTGTACAATAAATTTTGGGTTGTCTCTCGCGCTTCGCTCTACCCCCGAGTCCCTTCCGTGATTCCTCCCGGCGCAAGGCCCGGCCGCGGTGCCATTGGCGCCCGGGCGGTGCTGATGTCCCAGATGATAGGGGCCCTGCGGTTGGGGCCGCTCTAGTGCCTCCACGAGGTCCATCGTTTGCACCTGCACGCTGAGTCGGGGCTCGGAGGCAACGCGACTTCAGAAGCCCGACAGCGTTGAATTCATCTGGCTGTTGTTATGCGCCTGCATCAGTGAAGCCGTTTCCTGGTTCACCGAATAGCGTCGCGTTTGCCGTACGTAGTAGCGTGCGATGGCAAACATCCCACCGAGTGTTGATACTGAAAATAAGCCGATGCAGAGAAGGACACAAACGGTGCATACGAAGCAAACGTGAATAATGTGAATTAATGGCGTTCAGATAGAAGAGAACCTATCATGGCGTTAAGTTACGCATCAAAATATATTAAAAAAATCTTATTGTTTAAACAAGAAGCACAGCTGTGTGAAATGCAGGGAGCATTTTCTGTACCAAAAAGTACATTATAGACTGCAAATGTATACGGATGATTGCATGCAGAATAGCTTTGAAATGTTTACATTGGACTTACGCCTTCTTGCATGGAAGCATTTTGTAGTTACACGGCCGCTGACAGTGTAACATTTTCGTTGTAAAGGTCTTTTTTTTTTTGCTCTTATATGCTGTTGGTATGGTAAGTTAACTCTACCTTTCTGTGTTTCGAAATGGCAACGATACACTTTTGGTGTCAATTACATTCAGGATTATTTATGAAATTGACTTATTTTATTAAATTGGAATCACATATTTGCTTACACTTATCAAAATTTCCACCTTATGGTCGTCGACTTGATTTAATCGCCTTTTATAATTTCAGTTTTTTCGCCCCATACACAAACAGGAGGCTGAGGCGCTCGCCACACGCCATAAGCAGTTGACAGAAGCGATATGCGTATGCCACACTAAACCGTATGTTATTTACACGTTTGCCTCTCACTCATCCTATCACCATGAAACACTGACAAAAAGGCGGGCATCCTGAAAACTTTTTTATGCATCAACAATGTATATACATGTATACGTTTCCATGGACAACACTTGTTTATCTCAATTAGATCTGTATTCTATCGGTATAAAATACAACTTTATATAACAATAATATATGGATACGCATTATTTACGGATAACTAATAAATATCTCGATTAAATGATCTGATAGTTTTACCAATTTCATGGTAGAAAAATCAAGAGATACTAAAAGCAGCCTGTCCGCAGAGTTAATCATTCGGTGTTTGGCTCAGATTCTTGTGAAATGTCTTACCGTGTAATTGAAAAATTACCTCTAAACATGGAGGCACTTTAGCAATTTTAGAACATACACTTGCTCATCTGGAAGTTAAATTTTAAAAATAAAAATTTTAAATAAAAAATAGGTCCCACAGAATTTGAACATTTGTAATTGTATTTCTAGCGTTTTCAAAATGAACAAATTCATTTTGGCCACGATTATGGAGGCGAACTGTATATTTAATCCCCAGTATATTCGACAAGGTTAACTTCAAATATAAAAGGAAGCAAATAGAAAATCACGGTCGGATTAAGTTTCAGTTCTTTTGAAAACGATTCTATAACGGTTATCTCAAATTAGTGCCAATTTATCACAAACCGTGTCCGTTGTGAAAGAAACCCATCGTCGTACATCATCTGCAAGCCTGCATTCAGGTAAATGCTGTAAAGCGATACATTTCGTTAAAGTCAACCGCAGACAAAAGGTGGATCTTCGTTTTGGCCTGTACTGAATAGCGGATAAGAGCGGGCACAGTATGTGCAAAGGTCAGACAGACAACTTCATAAATGTATGAAATAGCGCTTCTAGTCAGCGAAATATCAAATAGCGGCTTCTACCTGGTACAACTGTGCAAAGGAGACGGCCACTACAATTAAAATCGGACAACCCTGTACCTAATAGTCATCTGGTCAGGTAAGTGTTTCTTTGTGTCAGGTTGCTTGAACGGGCTTTTCGACAACAGGGCCCAACGGTGCCATTTGTTATGCTTTGTTTGCCCGAAGGTGACTGATACACTGAGTCTGACATAAATGTACACTGTACATACTGAACCAACTCTATTTACATCAAGGCATCGCCAGAACCCATCGAAGACAAGCTCATTTGAGCGTGCGTGTTAATAAGAAGAAGGTTGCGGGGTTAATTAAAGTAACAGGTTATTCCGTTCTCCGATATAATAGCATGCTAATTCCATGGAACAGGATCGCTCATGGGCGCAGCAGTGTTTTACCTTTGTTGTCGTATTACTCAATTCAGTAGGTGATATTTCGTTCTAATTAACCATATCTACGCCCTCAGAATATACTATAAGTTTATACCGATTATTCGAAATTCGCCGAAAAATAGGTGACAAGGATGAATTAAAGTTAAAATACTGGGTTTTGTTTCAGCTAAAGACCCATTATACAATTATTATATAGAATACTTCTAAATACTATCAAGGAATCTTGCCTCGTTGGTAACGAACACCTTCATCAGAGTACAGGCCTCTTGACTCTGTTTATTAGAATTTTCAAATAAATTAACGAATGCAATTGTTGACTTTTTCTAATTAGTAACTTAGCAGATGTCAGACAGATCTTTATGATGAAAATATTGCTTATTGTAGTGGTTCAAGGACTTCAGCGGCTCGAAAACTTAATTATTCTAACAAAGTTCTATGTCGTTTTCGTGCGCCGTGTTTACATATATGCGACTGACCGTATACACTATTATAAGACCGTTGAATTATTTGCTAAAATTATCGACAATAGCTGAGCGCACATGTACATCGATTGAAAAATGCTTTCTAGGCTCGAAATTTGGTCCCATTGCTTGAAAGTTTTCACTGAATTTATATAAGAAAACTGCACGACACCCTTGAACTAGCTCTTGAGTAATGCTTTATTCACGTATGCACAGAAATATACAGTGTGTGCAGTTGTACCTGATTCACATATTTTACTGCAATAAACTATGCACTAAATAAACCCGAGTCGGACACTGGCAAAGGGTTTAAGAGTACCCTAAAGAATTTCTACTTTCACATCTGTTGTAAAAAACGTCAGATACGCATTAAGTGTACATAACTTCTTTCGTCGGGTTTATGTATTACATAATTCATTTTTTGGTGCAATTTGTCTTTACTTGCTGTCCGTGTGTGTCTTGGGAAGGTCTGCTACCAGCACCTCAGCACTCTGAGCCATTATAAATGCGAGCAGACTTGCCCCCTTACGCTATGTTGTTTGCAAATAGCGTTTTCCTGTTGCACTTTAGTAAACTCCCGAATGTCACATAAATCGCATATGTCTTGGGTTCAAGCTTTTTGACTACGATTACTCCAATATGGGTGCATTTATTTCTGCGTTTGTATACAGCCATTTTTCAGTTTTGTGTTAATAACCCAAAGTCAACATACGGAATTATACCACAAAAAAAAATGGGAAGCTCTGTCTTTCTTCCGATTTTTCTCGACGTCGTCCCTACCAATAAAGCTATCTCATCTTATGTACTGTGCACTTCCATTTTTACGAATAGGTACTGCGATATCCTTTTCTCCTTTCTGTACAATCTTTTCTTGATGAAATGACGATCAAAGTAGAGGTTGTTTTGCTTTGCGAAGTCCAGCTCCGCCCGCCTTGCAGGACAATATTAGTGGCCCCAGTTGCCGTCTATCTATGAATAATTTTACCTTCGGACTGCTTGCGGCCAATATAGCTGCTGCCAGCGATTATCTCCCCTGAGACCTGATATACATGATCAGAAGGACGTGTAAGGTCATGCCACAACAGCCAAACATGTAGTCGTGTGATCGTTGTAAACCGTTTCAGGTAATTTAACGCAGTTATACGGTACAAAGGACTGGTTTAATGCTGGTGGCAAGTGAAGGGTAACAAACAATTTCCTTACGAGTTCTGGCTGTTCGTACCCGCACCCAGTGACAGGATGTTGCGGGGTTAAAAGTCTGAGATACATAATTTCTTGTATATATAGTGAATCGCACTGACTTAGCTTTATCGCTAGCTGCTAGGTAAATGTATTATGTTGAATCATTAATTCAAATTATAATGTTTGAGTCATTACAACTCGGCCACGTTTATCCAGCGGCACATCCTCATCCTGTAATCGGTGTTGTCTAGCGTTCAGGCGATTTGATTTAACGCTGCACTATCAAGGCCTCCTCTTAATCCGTTTCTGCGTGCCGGTGAGCCTACATAACCAAATGCTCTTTCGTCTCAGAGCACATTCTGCTATGTACTTGTTGTGCTCGCGGCCGTGCGCTTTGCCCAACAGAGTCTATTTTCATTCCAGAGGCAAATTTTTGGTTAACGTAATTAGAGCAGACGTATTTCCCCGAAAACCGGCACAATATCGTACCTGGGTGTGAACTCACATGCTGTAATTTATATCCCTCGATGCGGAAAATAGCATATTATGAACCAACTTACTGTTTTGTTTACAACTGCCCTAAGTTTATCCTTGGCTGAGGAGGACGACCACAGCCGTTCGGTCCCGTATCTACTATAGATGTATATTTATCGAGTAATTCATATTATATTGCTTGCATCACTGTTATATTTAAATATATATATTTTGGTGGGTTATTTGTTGTAACGGACCATCTGCACACCATCACGGCTACCTAAGAGCGTATTTTGATGAGAGTCCTTTAGACAAGTCGGCTCGACAAAGGAGTCTCACGAAATACCCTGTGCGTTCATTAGACCCGACGCCAATGGGTTTTTTTTTCTCATAGGATTAGCTTAAAATCTACGCCAGGAAAGCGACGACAATGGGAAGCTGGATGTTTACCGAAGCTTTCCACCGTTTTCAGCAGTATATTGACTAGAATGGCAGTAATTTTAAACAGACACGGTAAAAGGAAAAGTTTTACATTTAATAATTTTTTAAATGTTGCTTAAGTGTAAGAAAAGACTGTGCATACATTTTTAATGGAGCTCTCAAAGCTACCTGTCTAGCTTTAGCAGAGCCTCAATAATAAAATAATAAAAAAAAATAATAAAATAAAAAAAATAATAAAAACTCAACAATAGAGTTTTCCGATGCATGGTCGTTTTAATATTTAAATATTTATGCTAGTCGAGAAATGAAAGTGTGCCAATTGTGCTCCTAGTGGTTATATATAAACGTAGACCGATAAGAAAATGACAATTACCAAGCTACATTGCAGGAAAATGACTGTATCCTAATGTGTATCATTGTTCCTGATTGAAATCCTGGGAACACAGCCACCTGCGCATCTAGCAGCTTTAACTCACAGTGTTTATTCGGATATTGCTGGTGTTGCCTGAGTCAGACTCATCTTCGTTGTGAAATACATCAACGGCAACGCTTAACGACAGACTTGCCCATTATTACTGACCTACTGGACAGAAGTATTTTCCATAACCCCGATGTAATCCTCGATCGTTTTTTCTAACTAGATCTTACCTGACAGATACTACATCGGAGCTGGACGTTAACCTGAGCCTATCTGGTTCTTCGACCCGATTGCATGAATGAAGGTAAACGTAGGATCCTATGTTAAGGTTAAATTGCATTAGTTTCATATATATTCATTTGGCCCGACTGGCAGGTTTCGACTGTTCTCCTCGAAAGGTCAAGCATCAACAAGCGATCCATCAATCCATAGACTACACATCATACGTACATTATTCTGTTATAAAACATCGAACCCAATCCGCTCGAACTAGCCTTGTAAGACAACGCGGTGGTGCTTGTAGGGCTTCTCAGTGTCCTGCTATCAATTATCCTTTGTAATTTTATAATACCTTTTAGCTAACAGACACCACACCGTAGAGGGATTTCGTGAGGGTAGGTCGTACGGCTTTGTCGACTGGTAGAATTGTTACTCTTTGCTTGTTGCTAGCGTAATAATTAGGACGACCACGTTTGTTAGTCTATGCATAACTATTTAAGGTCCAGGCCATTCGTTAAGCAGCCAGCGGAATACCCTTTACTCAGAAAAATAAATTTTATGCGCTTGCTTTATTGATAGATGCAGAACTGGATACGCTGAAAGAACAAAGAGAAGCAACAAAAGCTCATCCAGTAACCGGGTCGATGAGTGTAGCACAATTACTATATCTTTACGACTCTTCATTAAAATACATGTCGAATTATGACATGTACGCGTTGTGGTCGAATACAGAAAAAGAGGAGTGCATCTAATTGACACAAAGTAATCTTAAACGAAGCGTAGAATAAATTACGAAACAAGTTACCATAATATTTCACTGTTTCTCTTTTTCACTGTATTTGACCAACTGTCGTTTGCTAAAGATTTGCCAACGGTCACCAACTCGAGTTCCCTAATTTTTCTTCCTCAATTCAATCGTCTTTACTAGAATTGTTTTCTCTATAAAAAAAATGCCAATCGGAAATGTCGCATTCAGGTACGATACTTCGATGTAAAAATGATACGATACCTTTTATTAATAGCTAGCATTTTTAGTCCATCGTTTCTTTTTTACCCATAATAGTTCATCCGGTAGATATGACGAAACCACTGTACCTTTACTAATTTATGTTATGTATGAGGTCTATTTGTTAGTGCATAGGTCAGCTCGCTTTGTCAATTATTTGCGATACTTACATATAATCGTAGAAACGATGAGCGCAATGATGGGATCGGCTAAATAGCACTGATATCCGTGCCGAGCGAAAAGTGGTGGGCGACAATTAATTGCCCGATGTGAGCCTTCCGGACAAATAGAATCATCCGGACATTCTATTGGAGCTTGCCACTGGTTCTGGAAGGGCAATACGAATGTAGAAATCCTATTACAACATATTAGATCACACATAAAGTTGTCACATATATTTGTACCATGCAGGGTGTGAGCTCCATGCCTGAGGGGACTGCTCAACGGTAACCTGCAAAAGCCAATCATGACATATGAAGACTACGGGATGTACCTTGCTTTTACCACCCAGCAGAAATCGATGGGGCCGCCTAAAGAGCACTTTTTTTTAAAGAGTCGTAATCCTGAAACGAGCCGTGAATTGCATATAAAATGAAACTTATAAAAATTTATGGCGTTTTAACCTATATCGCTATGAACTAGAATTGGAATCACTTCAGATCAGTCTTGATTTGAGGTCCTATGACTTTCGTATTTCAAATCAGCCGGACCGACGTACAATGTACGAGAAGTACATACATCAGTCTTGCTGCAATCAGAAATAGATCCCATCGCCAGACAGATCAACAAACAGTCAAATGCAGAATTATATGTATTAAATTATATAATTATCTAAAATCAATTTGCTTGTTGTGATGAGAATTATTGGCATTATACTTCCTTCTACATTTTCTAATGCTACGAAATGGAATATTCTCAACCATATCGATTTGCGTTTATGCTACAAGATTAGCGACTTGGCTATATGATAATTATCAACAGCTTAATAGGTGTTGAATGAGACGAATTTTCGGGGTGCCGAAAATTTTCTTGTGGCGGTGCACTCTGCGTAGTAGTTTAGCGGAACAGCTGATTTCACGTTACAACTGCGGTGGGCACACGAGCGAACATACGATCTACTGTAGAAAAATTAAGTGTTCAGTCTTTACCCTCTCTCCCCTATACCACCTATACTCGTTCGTAGTAATTGTGCAGCCAGGACTGAAGTGGGGCAAGTTTCACGGCAGAGGCAGCAAACGGTGACCTAGGAACGGCGGCTCTGCGTTGCTTAACCGTATGTGTCGTGTGTTTTTAGAATGTTTTTCTGTTTTTTTTTTTTTTACTGATTCGTCAGAGCCTTTAAAGCGTCGATTGTGCTTCCTTCTCGACTACTCAACAGAGAATAGCAATTCGAGTTGTTCCTCAGGCCAAACAGGAAAAAGTCCTTCGACAAACGGGTGACATGAGGTGTTTTGTCTTAGTCTAGGAATTGGGAGTAAAGAAAGTCAGAAATGCAATAAGTAAGCCCTCATTAATAGGATGCTTATTTTCACAAGTTAGTCTATGTACAGCTTTATGATAATAACATAAGGTGACGTCGTGGTTAGTCATGCTTGAGGGGTCGAAAGTTGACTGTGATTACAACATGGTTTTGTCTTTGTCTCGAAGTTTCTGACACTTGGGTGTGATTTTCTCGTACCAAAAAGGCGTTCATTAGCTCAACTTGTTACGGCTAGTTCTCTAATTGTAAGCGTTATATAACCAAGATAAGGAGAAAAAGCTATGCGGGTAATCAATGAGAAGGGCCACTACTTAATCCCCATTAATGAAGGGCGGCAGGCGAATAGTCAGTAGTTTGGTCAACGTTCAAGGAGCTGCATGTTTTCATACGAAAAAAACCTATCAAACTATAGGCGACTAATAATTTTTGAGCGTTGTGCTACACCCTTACTAGTAATCATTGAAGTTTTATGCAGAATCAATATGTAAATTATTCCAATGGAACGTAAATGGAACGTTCATAATAATTCACCAACAAAATCTATGGAATTATATAATTTATATAACTTCGCATGTGTTTATAAACGGGTACAGTTATTTGAAATATATTAAATACCCCAACTTTATAAAAACATATGCAGGTGTACACCTTTCGTTGTTGTTGTCAAACTGCAACATCGAATAGTGCTTGGTCTTACATTCTGCACTTTCATACTATACGCTTCTAGCAATAAACTGACACTAATATCGGCGACAAGGTCATATTCCAATGACCTACGTACAAAATGCGCCTAGCAATTCGAACGCCTGACAGGTGTCCTCTAACGGGATGTCGTTCCGTAGTTGCCCACACTGCACTGGTCGACCAGGTTATTCCCTGTGAACGTATGACAACATCGCAATGTACAGCTGCTACTGCTTACTGTGTCCGCCCAGACAAAGCTGGCAGCACTTATAATAAACGCCATCCTTTCTATCAATTTCTCCGAGGTCGGTTCTTCGACGTCTTGCGATTGTCGCGACTCCCGCTAAACCTAACTTTTATAGAACTTTTGTCCTAACAGAATCTGGAGGCCAAACATGTCCTTGCTAGACGTTCGATTTATCGCGGCCTCCCAAATTATTTTCGGTGCACGGTGGGTATGTATCCGTACAACGATACGTGTGTACTAGCCGTATGTAACACAGAACGTAACAGCGTGGCAGTTTTTTTTTTTCATATTATCTACGCCGCTGTGATTATAGTGACATGAACTGCTTCAAGCAATAATGCTGATGCTTATGACCACACAAAATTCGTATGCAAGACACAACTATCCCCGTTGATTTTTCTTTTTGTAAAAAAAATATATATATTTTGCATCTCCAGCATTGTAGGGTTTATCTGTATGGCGCTTCCATAGCGACATCTAATACGACGATTTGCCGCTGAGCATATTTTCGACCCACATCGGTCGAGGTCTAATTTGAGCTTTGCGGAACCGAGTGTGACGAGTTTTTCGGCGCATTACTGGTTATGCTTTGCGACGCCGGAGAAGGTGGTTAGAACCAACTTCCCGACAACTAACGCTGTCGCTATGTCGGCCAATGTGGTGCTTTTTTCTTACACAGATATATCGAATACACTATATCTATCAGAGTAGCATTCCCAGTACAAAACAAATGCAGACTCAGTGAACTATTATTGTTTTGGTCGCTATGTATTCGTCTGCGTACCTATATATTCTGCTCAGAGAGTCTAAGCGTCGGCAAATTAATGTGACGCAAAGTAAATGGATGAATCTGAATGTTTCGAGCAGCTTACGATAGCGTCAGACGCTGGATAAAAACGTCATTGTACGTCAGTAATGTATGTTGTCTGCCATGGCCTGGCGTCGTTGCCATAGCTGCCTTTATCACTGATGGTGTTCGTGTGCCGTCGTTGTTGTAATACTAGCCTATATAACCCAGTCCGCCTAACTGGACAGCACGCAGCATAGGACAAAGTTTAGGTGTTGCTTCTGCCACCTGGGTTGAATAAGCTAGGCAAAATCTCTCTTGTGATAGGTGACCACTAATAGAGAAGCGAAGTATGCAAGGAAAGCTAGCTAGAGAAGAAAAGTCCGAACCATTTATATGCGAGTCAAAGGTACGAAAAAGCGAATGAAGTAAGCGCGGCATATAAAGAAAGCGAAAAAGGGAACGTACAGCAAAAATATAAATATGAGACACAGAAAGAAGCAGGTGCTGAACAACGGTGTCATCGCTAAAGGTCGCTTGCTCTCTTTTTAGCCCACTGGTCCCTTCCGGAAGCTCCATATTGCTCATACATTCCATCAAGCTAAGTCCTACTGGGTACCCCGACGTGTGAAGATGTATTAGGACAACCAAAGCCTGCTGTTGGCAAAGGCGGCCTGAAGTGAAGGTGTGTTTTAGAGGGATATGTACAGGTCAGGTATATAGGACGAACATACCATGTACCTAGGTAGCAAGGTCCACTTGAAAAATGACTGATCTTCATTCGAGCATTTTGATTAGTAAGCATAATGTCCCTGCGTATACTAAAAGAAGACGTTTACGAAGCTCTCTGGTATCCAGTTTGTGTTACTGACACAAACAATTAGGGCAACACTGACATCTTGCACATAGTGAGTGAATTTTTTGACGCATTCATACTATATACTGGGTTCTGGCATGCCGGTCGTTGTGAAGTGAGATCGGGCGTCCACATTTGTAATACTAACGTAGCAGAAAATCACGATGAGCCAAGTGATAGCTAATTTCACTTATTTGAGTCCGTCTGCTAAGTTATTTTCCGGCTAAGTTAAAATAGGACGTCAACGCTATTTGGAAAAATCATGTACAGGTACAAGACAGCAAAGACTGACATATGTATACGCCAGAAGACGTGGCACCTCAGTCATATTAGCGTTTGATGTATCGTTGCCTCTTATGCGCCGAACTGGGCGCGATTCCTCTTGCAAATCGTGAATACAATTTTACTTAGAAAATACAAAAACATGAATATCAATTATATACATCGTACATTAATTAGTTGGGCACGAACGATTAACCAAGCTCACTCTAGGATTGCTCTAGAACTAACACATGCAATTGCTTAGTTTGGGAAATTCACGGTGTCGGCCAACTAGACGAAAATAGATTTATGGCAGTAGGAAAATAACTGCAAGTTTCAAAAAGCGAGTTCGAAAATTATATAGAAGGTAAGCAATACTCCATTGGTTTTTATTCAGCTTGTTACTATTATTACTGTAGATAAGTTATACAAGCATCTTGCTCGGAAACTGGCTTGAGTTTTATTTATTTGAAAATTCAATTATTGCTTGTCAGTTATTTAATGTGACCAATCAAATTCGAAATTACTAGTACTCTACATACGTAAACGCAAGAGCCGGAGAACAATATTTTTATTTGATAATATTTTGTAAATTCGCGTAAATGATGTCCTTAGAAATCCGCAGGCAAGCTCATATATCTATTTTCGGAACAATGTGTGTATGTCTCGGGATCCGCATGATTTCAACTATTCTCTCGATCGGCACCTTGTTCCAGAAATCGTTCCCCTGGATAACATTATGAAGTCACTAGTGGTAGTCAGCCCAGCCGAGATCTGAAGTAGTAATAAGATGTTGCTTAACTTGTTGTAGAGGGCAAAGGCAGACGACGAGATTCTCATTCTTCTTTATCAGCCGATTAGACCCCATTCTGGCTGTGGGCTTTTATCCGCGCACAAAGAGGAAGGCTTAATCCACCAGTTACCCATACATAAACGTTTTAGGAAATGTATGAGGAAGGGTCGGTGGCCTATGCTGCCGTGTAGTATCTTTGCTATCTCATTCGTAAGATATTACGCCAGCCTATACTATTATGCAAGGATGCACTTGTCGAGTTATAAGGCTCTGTTAGGCCACAGCAAATGCGCACAATTACCAGCAAAAAAAGATGATTTACGCATCAACGATCTGTTATGTACATTATATGTTAATTATTCATTAATGAGACAGGAGGGTTAACTTAACTTAACTCTTAACTGAGATCTACAACAGAGAATCATTTAATAATATTATGAAATTCCTAAAAAACCACTAGCTTTTAAATTGTACTCTCTTGTAGGCCACGAATGTAGGAAGCGAAAATAAAAACACGTGTCCGAAAGGCTTAAAGTCTATTACCTATGAGAATTGCTTTAATTGTGTTTCCTAACCAAAAATAAGCAATTTTATATTGATGTTCATTCGGAAAGATACACCGTTCGGATATGTAACTTCAACGGATAATTTTAAACCGCGCCTTTTGTTTTAATCAGAGAAGTTTTGTCAAGTCTATATTTGTTGCTTTGAAAATTCGGAGTGGCTGAATATAATAAATATATTTCCTAAATTAGTATTCAATGCGCCCTTTGCTCATTGTCATTTTTATGTCAAATTTTTAGCCTTAGAAACCTTTATTAATTTTAGTTTTCTCACTCAATTTTGTTTAGTGTAAAAGATGTATAAGAAACTAACGTGAGCCACTGGTATAGTCGCGCCATAATCTTTGCTACTCTTTTGTTTACTCCAATTAGTCTTATAAGGAAAATATATTAGTTATTAGCAGAAAGATCACAGTCTCTGTGAGCGCCAACAACGGTCTATGCTGCGAAACCACACTCACGTGAAGAGCAACGACAGTCAGGTTAGCGAATGTGTTTATACCGTGGAATACATGAGCAGGGAACCCGGGTTGAGCCACATGACAAATCTGTCAATTTCGTAAGCTCGGAAAATCGAGCTAGGATAGAGGCTTATTTTTGTCAACTTTTAGTTGCTTTTCGTAAAGGATAGTTTAAGGGTTCGTCAATTATATCGTTTCCGCTGTATGACTAACTTAACGGCTGATGCCTTATCTGCTTTAGTCGTTGCCCCGTTCGTGGTTTAGACCGATTGAATGATCAACCTTTTACGGTCAGTTCATCGATCTGAAAAGCCGCGTTTTTAATGCTGACAATTTTTTATTACTCATGATAGCAAAACGCTCGCGTGACCTAGATTGCAGGAACGCGTAAAGGAGCTAGATTCAACTTATTATCTCTCATATCTGCTTAGTCTTTATAAATCTGCCAAACTTATTGTAAATAGAACCATTTACTATACGGCCTAAATTTAGTTTTTTAAGCTGGTCGTACGCTAAGTTCCTGCCTAAAGATATAGTGAAACTTGCAAGTCTACTATCCGAAACCGAGGTAACAAGAAGCAAAAAAAAGAAGCAACATGCTCACCGTACAGAAAAATCCTGCAGGACAATCACTGCACGACGTCGAGCCGTAGTCAACATTGTATGCTCCCTTCCGGCAGCGAATACAACTACCGGCTCCTGCGTGAGGCTTCATTGTGCCCGGCGGACACGGCGAACACTCGAATTTTCCCCCAACTGGCGCTTCGGTTCCGGGGGGACATGAGGTACATTCTGTGCATCCGAGCGTGCTTTAAGCAATAAAGTTGTCGTAAACAACAATACGTTAGTTTTTCTAATACTGCTTTTAGTAGACCTAATAATAATAATAGTATAATTCAACCTATCCTGTCTAGTACAATGACCGTATCATAAATTTCCGTAAAACTCACTTCTACTGTGCACATACACTTTCCTACCAAGAAGGTCGCATAAAGTAGCTGTGATACTTTGCGCTATTAGAAATTGTAGCTCTGGGCTAGCTGTTAGATTCCTAGCGATTTCGATCTATGAAAGGGATAAACAAAACACTTATGTTAGTTTTAAAAACTGGTTAGTGGATCAACCTACTTGTAAAATCATTACAGAAACATACAAGAAAGTCCCTTTTTTTTTTTATAAAAGGGGAAAATCTCTAACGCTTCTCGATGCTTTTTAATATCCTTAGGTTACGCAATGAGCAACTTTCAAGTGTTTCAATGACGAGGGCACGGGAGCCGCTAGACGTTTCAAGACCTGGACTTTTACAATTATGAAAAATTTCAGTAGCCCAATAAATATCGAAATATATACATTTTGTAAGCTATTTAGACTTGTGTGAAAACTTCAAAATGCCGAGAATATATCGTTAGCTTTGAACATATCTGTTATACTCAACATCCTTCACTATTAGGGAATCAAACACCCAGGCAAATGTTTATTCATTTGTGTCTTTGCAAGTTTCCTTTACTGATAAAATTCGTATTTCGGCAGTTTTTAATACTCACAAATATTCATGTTAGCAAATAATGTAAACGAACATCATGTTACCTGTACATGCACACAATAGAAATATAGTCATGCTTATCATATGTGTATACCTATATTTGTATACGCGCATCATGTTGAGCGTATGCAAGTAAGTCTACACGTGGCACTAATCAATGCTGATATGCCCAGCCGTGGAAAAGTTCTGTCTTTTCGGACTCGGCCAAAACCCTTCAGCTGACCCCGAATTGCATCGCCGTATCTACCTACTAGATTCGACTGCCAAAACTCTTGAAACTATCGTTTACGGTTTCTTAGTACACGTACTTTAAAGGTCGGTTTGCCGAAACGGCCATTGGTAATTTATATAAAAAGCAGTTTACAGAAAATTCGGAGCCTCTGCTTGCGGGGGCTTTGCAAATTGGTTTTTTGGGATATAGCAGTACTTTTAACTACCTCAAATACCAATTTATGATACATGTAATGAAGGCCTTGAAATCATTTTCTCTCTCTTTTTATGCACAAAAGCTGATAGCCTCCTATCTCAGTGTAGATTCAGCACACACGGAAACATGGGGCTCGGTGTAGCCTTTGGAGTCTCGCGGGAGTTGACCTTAGTCCTGCTGTTATAAAACATAACATACAACGACATTTTTGAAACGCTCGAGTAAAACGCGCATAGGCGCCAATGTATGTCCTATTCTAATAACAGCCTACGCGAAAGAAACCTTTTCGTAAAAGGCGCACATCGTTTTAGAAAAGGAAAGCTTGTAGCTTGAAGAACACGGGCTTCAATTTGCCAAGGTTACTGAGGCCACGCGCCCTCTTCTCTGTCACTTAACGTAATCGAGATATCAATAACCGCTGTAGTGCAGGGCCTAGAAGCAACAATGAATTGCTCTCTCTCGAAAGTATTCAAACGCTCACAGAGCCAAGACCAATTAAGGAGAAAAAAAAAAAGCTAACCCACTACTATGCAAAGAAGAAGTCAAGAACAAGATGCAGAAAGAGGACAGCAGGAACTGTGCAACCCATTCGTAGACTCATCGAGGATTTGGATTGATATTTCAGGTAAGCAAATGGTCAAATCTTAGATACGGCAACGTCTGCCTGCTATCTGACTCAGATTCCGAAGAACCAAACGACGAAAAGAATTTTTCGAAATTCTCGCCCGTTAAAAAATGACATTGAGCGCCAAATGCAAAACACACAAGATGGAAGAACTAAACGGCGTTCTACAGTTCTGTTTGATAAGATTCGCAGGTGCTAAATAGATGCTAAGATTCCCTAAAGGAAACTTGCCTAGATGACTGCGAGTGTCATCTATATTACGAGCACTTAATAATAATAAGGCGGAATTATTCGGAAGGATGAAGCAAATGTCTATATTTGCTATATATTTGCAAGGAAGAACGAGCTAGAACGAAAACGAAAGCACAGGCCACGCAATAGGCGGCGGGGGCCAGTCGTAGCCGACTATTAATTTTACCAGGAATGGCCGCTTCTGCGTTCTACTAAAAGGTCGTGAAAACGGTCCCAGTGAAACCAGCCATACACTAATGGGCGAATTATTTTCTTTTACGTGACAGCAAAAATCTCGATATGAAGCATTCTATAAATATTTTTCAAAACCAAGCACACTTTCATCTGGCGATATTAGCAGAGAGCGCATCGAAACTCTTCACGGTTTGTGTACATGTTTCTAGGTACGTAAACTGTCTTCGGTCCTTAGTCAAACATGGTTGCATTCAATCAACTTAAAAATGTATCTACGTATCTGACTAAATAAAAAAACATTATAAGGTTTTAGGCTTGACAAAAGCGAGTGTTTAGACAGCCAATTCTCGTTATGTGTACTTCGATAGTACACTATTATACAAGCCGTCCCGACAACAAGTACAAGGTTCGCCTATGCTCGTTCAGGAACATTCTGCCGACACAATTACCATTGATTTCTGCCAGAACCGTTACATCTAATTTGATTCTTTCATCCCTCCTCGTTTTTCTATTACACTGATCTTGAAACTTTACATGTAGAAGAAAAGCCGTTTTGGGAAATGTATGGTGAAATGCGGCAGCATAATACGATCTAGTCGGTGCTGCCGTCACTTTTCGAACAATAAATTATAATTAGGTTTTTATCGTTTTCGTGTGCTCGAGTTCCTACATCCTAAACGAATACACTGATATAGGGTAGACGACGTAACATCGATCTGTTACTGTCGTATATCAACAAATTTGAAAAAAATGCCTCCGGAAAAATTAGGATCGAGTCTTTAAAGTTAGACATGTACAAATTGTCATTAATGATTCCTTCAAGTTGGTTTCGTTAGGCAGTATTCCTGATTCGAAGTTAACCAGGAACTTCGAATCGTCTGTCACTTCTCCAACTCTGTATAGGAAGTGTCCTTTGCCCGTCTAACAATTACAAGATTGTCAAAACGAAACAGAGATAACACCGGACCTGCGATGGTTGAATCTAGTCTTGCTACATATACAGATCATTATCAGAAACGCCATCCTCTACAAATAAAAAAAAATCACTGTCAAGCAACGAAAGTAGACTCACTTGCAATAAGTTCCTGGTGGGCACTTCGGGCATTCGGTCGCTCCTCTCCCTTTAACATAGAACCCTGCAGGGCAACGCTTACATTCCCTAGCACCTTGACTAGCTGAGAAACTACCCGGTGGGCAGGATACACAAAAGTTGGCTGTTTCAGATGATGGACAGTATCCTGGAATCATACAGCATTGGCAGTCGTCTGAAACGTGACATCCATTCAGAAGCATATAAAAGAATTATTATATGAAACAGCATAAAAATCATGAGACACAATAAATGCATGATCCTATCCAATAAATAGGCTTTACAACGAAATTCTTGGTCCCTATCTTTAAAAAGATGGACATATAACTCATCTTCATTCATTTATTATTTCATGGGTTATCTCATCGATTTGTAACAACGTCGTTAAACAGCAGGACAAAACGTCAGAATGCTTTCTTCAAAAAGCAATCGATATTTCGTTCGTAAAGGATGGTGGATCTATTATTTGTATCCTACTAAAACCTAATATCTACCTGTTTTTTTCCAATCCAAGTCGATCTAATTTTTTTTTGATGGGTCGTTAAGTTTCATTCGGAAAAGGGCTGTGCCTATTATCTATGCAACCTCTTAAATGTGGCTATGAAAAAGCTATATTTTGGTGAGATTTTCATCAAAATGACAACCGAATACTTATATCGAAGTATATGTAGCGGGGGGTGTGTTCTTGATACCACTCGAAACTCGTGCAGAGCTGAATTAAAATACAATGCACGCCACTAAACCGGCTTTGACACTGTAAATGGTGATCTACATAGAGAAGCTCGTTTTCGATGCCAATCAATAGGCTTTGATGTGTTTCGTTTCGCCTACATGATAGTGGGGTAAAAATGCTTTCCGAGCTCTTTTTCGGTGCTCCTTTGACAAAATCTATAACTAGTGTATTGCATTGCGAACATCTTAGCTGAGTAACTTTCCGAAGGTACTCTATGAAAGATCTTTTGAGAGGAATACTAAAATATCTAAACTATTTCTACTTTGTTTACGTTAATTTTTGCATTAATTGATAGATCTTAACGAGCTGAATGAAACTGCGATAAATAAATCCTCTTGTAGTCAAGAGTCACACTTCGGCCTGAAGAAACCGAATGTAGTAGTTTTTTTCGTTTAGAGAACGTTGATATAATTTTTTTTTTGTACGGAACTTTTTTTATATGTTAATTGTTGGTATTTCTTTTCGAGTAAGCTCCCGTTAAGCTGAACTGAGATGTTCTACACGTTCATATAACGAGACCTCAGTTTTTTGGGTCCAAGGTAGAAACTTAAAGTAATCGAGGTTGACACCAATTAATCGAACAAAAATTTAATATCTATGTAAGTATATGTATTATACTTAAAATTGAGTGAAATCCAAGATTTTTTGAGTAAAAGTTGTGATCGCATTAGTTTGACTGTGGTATAATGTGTTTTGTGTGGAATTTGAGCGAGTTGCTGAATGTGAAATGGAAAATTAGAACTTTAATTAATTTTTTTAATAACTGAACGAAAGAGAACAAGGTATGTTAAGTTATGAAGGAAGATAAAAAAGCCCTCAAGCCTTGCTGACATTTTAAGAATCAACATACTCCTCAAAGCTATCTCTTTCATAGGTATCTACATGATATATATATATATATACACAGGAATAACTGTTTGTTACAAAGACGCATAAGCCTTTATGACGTACTGCGAACAGTCAGCCTTAATTTTAAACAAAATATGTAACTGCTTCTTATGAAATCCCAAAATCCATAAGCTTTCAAGGACTGAAAGGTTTTAGCAATGATAACAACCATTAAAGGTCGGTTAAAGGCTGACTTAATTCATTTATGTCTCCAAGAGGTTGGCCGTTATAATTAACGTGCGTTCCGATAAGAAAGCTGATCAGCCAACCTTGAAAAAACCTATAAGCGCACTGGACATGCGTTACAAAGGCTAGCGTATTACCAGCAAGACAAATCCAGAGTTCGTTGAGCCCCCCACATTAGAACAGACCACAGAAAAAAAGCAACAGGTTAAACCGAGCAAGGTAGTTGCAACGAGAATATTGTTAACGCGTATTTGATTTTAAGCTTTCACTAACCTAGGTGAATGAATCAGATTTGTTAAAATAATTAACACAAAAAGGCGCGGAGTGAAGCACGGGGGTCCATAGAAAATTCCGCCTATAAAAAAACTTCAGCTGTTGTCAGCTGTTTACTAACCCGGCATTTAGAAAGAAAAAAAGAATTATCGCAGTGTTTCTGTGTTGAAACACTGGCAACTCAGTGCTGGAGAGCCTCATATCAAGTTGGCTAGCTCAAGCAGCGATTAAATGTTAACCGTTGCCAAGTAGATTTCATTACCATGTGACTAAATAAAGAAAGTTTCTTTGCATCAAAGCGATCAACTCTCAAGCATATGAGAGAATTATGTGAAAGATGCCAGACAGGTTAAAATATCTAGAGGCAGCGACATCTTTATCATTATTATTATTATTATCATCATATATTAAACTGTTACAAGTAAATCCGATAGACTTTGTTTAATTTTTGAGCTACGCACCGCTAGCTCTAATATGCTAGAAACTCGAGAGTGAAAATCGGTTAAGTTTACTCTAGGAGGAGTAAGTTCATAAGGGTAACTTTTGGCAGCTAAAGCCAATGCTCACAGGTTAAGTTTTTGTTCTTCGGAGGCCGCGGGGATCCAGAAACTCATCGAAGATTAGTAAAGACATTTTAAGCAAAGGTACATATATGGCGCAAACGTTTTAAAAACAAAGATTTGAATATTGAAAACCAGCGAGAAGGTGACCAGATGTCGGGAGCCGAAGGCGAAGAGTGCAACGTTAAAGATTTTTCACAGAAGCAGAGCTCGGGCTATGAAGACTCTGTTGGTCAAAACTCACTGGTATTTCACACGTAACGTATCACATGATTGTAAATACGAAAGCTAGGTAAAAAAAATGGATTCCCGATTTATTGACTTAGTATAGTGTATTTCACGTATAGTTTGTAGAACCTTAATCAACGAAAAACCTGCCTGTTTCATACGGTTGCCATAAACACGGCATGGTTCAACTTCTACATCCACGTGGAAAGGAATTAAACGACACCATGCTAGCGAGAACCCAAGTCCGGTGAAAGTGTCGACTAAAAAGATGGTGACTCTTACACAAAAGACATCGAGCGTATCTGCTAGCAAGATACACTCGCTAAAAATGAAACAATCAATGCTGCTCGCTATCCCAAATCTGTCAGAAAAAATCACGGCCTCTTAATAAAAGAAGCAAAAAGAACATTCTGATGATTTGATCCAGACTAACGGAAACTGGTAGGCAAGCATATCCCACTAATTCGCTTCGAGAAAAAAAAACTATTGACGGCGCAGCAATATATGGGAACGCAGATGTTAGTTGTCTGGAAGCTGTCAAAGCCATCGAATTAGTCCATGAAAAATAAGAGTACCTCTAACGAAAACGATTATTATTATTAGAGCACCAATTAATTCAAAAGTTACTCGATTTAAAAATCCGCAGAATCTGTCTTGTACCGGCCTGATAAATTCTATTTTGTGAAGCAGTAGTAATTTGTGCCCTTTTCGGCCTTCCACTGTCGTTCTTCGCTTTTAAAATCTAACACAATATTTATATAGACAACATTCATGACTACACGATGTAATATTGTCGATTCCAACATAAAATTCTTATCACGTACAAATGCTGCTCACACATTCATCTTCACAAGCTTCACAAATGTATGTATACACTGGTCTGAAAATACCAAGCATATACCTGCGAATCAAATCCCAAAAAAAAGAGACGTCCCTATTTGTTCTTGGCGGTAGACATAACCAACCTAAGCCGCGTTCCATTGCATGCATCAAGCATAGCGTTTTTGAAAGGTTCTATCCTGACCAACCTGCCGACCACCACCAGTTATATATGTCACTGACGTTATCGAGGACAACATATGCGCTGCCCCGCTGATATAAAAGCACATATATTTATTTTAGGACTTGAGAAAGGCCAGTTATACAAAAACCAATAGAATGAAGCAGTGACATTACAGAATCCCTTCTCCGCCCCAATTGAAACCTAGAAGATGAAACTATGAAAATAAAGTTGAAACAATTGATCATCAATGCAGCTGCAACGGCAGCTGTGCCAATATAAGCGTCTTACACAGTCGTCTCGGCCATACTAGTACCCAATTTGGGCCTTTTTGTAACGCTCCGCTTTACGAGCGTGGATATGCTATCGACGAAAATGACTCCTTAGAGAATACAAGCAACAATCTGAGCAGAAGAGAAAAAACAAGTGTACATATGAGATCGAATGCAAACGTAACGACTGGTACATTTCACCTTGCCATAGCCACTAAATCTGCGTCTAAAGGCCTGCTTGCCTTTTGATGACGAACAGAAGGCCCATATATATATTTTTTAGATAGACATTTCTTGAAGCTGGCTAATGCTACCTGGGTTATGTTTTAATTTGCACTTAGTACTGTGAATTCTATATAGGCAGGAGTTGACAGCTAGTAACCAACTTTAGCGAATAATGGTGGTAAGTAACACTAAAATAAAAATAGAAAATATTATGCTTAACTCTGTAGAAGAGGTTTTGTTACTACCATATAATAAGAAAAAAAAAAAAACAGTTTGCTGTCATGTTACGCTCTGTACTAGGGGTCATCGGGGGCGAAGCGAGCCAGCAACCCAATTAGATTAAAATCAACAAAATGGTATTTGACCCCGCTCCACGAAGAATTCATAAGCCTAATCTTACTAAAGTAACTAGCGTATAAGCTCAATTTTTTGGTCGATTGGCTATATACTGAGCCTTTTCTCCCCTTTGAATCAAGTTGACTGCTAAAATAGTGGTTTCTAGAAAATAGTGATCTTCCGGAAGTGAGAAGCTTAACGACAGGAAGTTTGAAGCTGGGCACGACCAACTTATCTGTTTATTTTCTTTATCGAAATGATTCTTGAAACGTTTAACTCTATCAGGCATACTCCTCACTGTGGCATAGGACTAATTGTTTTGGAATCAGTCCTCACATTCAGACAGTTTAACCTGAGTGACAGAAGGCGCATTTTTACGTGACATGGAAGGTGACAAATGCAGTTATTGTTTTCCCAAAAATACGGTTACTTGTTTTGAGGTGTCATCGTCGTCTAATATTTCGTCACTACTTCTTAGATCCAGAAAAACATAAAACAAATGGTATGTTGGTCGTATTCATTGCTTATACGCGTATATCTGGGTACAAGATGAGGGAATAGCTACGAGTAACTTACTTACGGAAATGGCCGACGGAAGCACACGACATCAACCATTTTTACCCTATAGCTTCTAAAATCTTCGTACAACTCGTCAAGGATTTTTAACCGGTGTGAAGAGTAACAAATTTTTTTTTCTGCTTTGAAATTGATATTTGCTGGGCTGTGGGGAGCGTTGTCTACAGTAAAGTACGCTCTGTTAAAGTTCGACAATCACGGCTATTCTCGTATACTTCCGACCGATTCCTTCTATCCAATATAAAATGACCCGAAACTAATAGAGAGAGAAGTATGTGGCACGGTGCAGCGAAAATTCACTACAGGTGTTTAATAGTAAATTAAGTTCGCTACAAACACATAGGTTAGGTTCGTATTTCTTTTTATATCAGTTTCTATAAATGTTCGTATTTCCGTATTTCTGCATGCTACGATGGACTAGAGTGTCTGTCCCGTTTCTACAGTGCTTATGATTACTACCATAACTGCTGTTTGTTTTTTACCTTATGAAAGAATAGGTTTCGTTTATATAGAGTGATCCGCAAAACGCAATATTAATAGTTAAATGAAAACTAATAGCGACAGGCGTCTACGTTGACCAATACGAGACTGACAAACACCTTCGAACGCTAGCCAACAAACCCTCGTAAATAACAGTAACGTCTACGAGTCTTCTTAAAGGGCTAAAACATAACATCGTGTTGTACGACCTGATCTAAGGACTGACGATTTTACTAATTATTTCATTTTGGTTTGTTATGAAGAAAAAAGAAAACATAGTTACTCTTCACCTTCGTTGGACTGATTCGTACAAAGGGAATATTCGCGAAACCTAACGGTACATCATGGTCTAGCATTAAGTCGAGGTTTTCCTGATATACCATTTACACAATAGCGTTTTCTCGTCGAAGTCTTGGCAAACCGGAAATTATAAATACCACTTTTGAGATAGATGGCTCATACAAGCTAGTACAAAATTTCAATAAGCACTTAAGATTTCTGTCGACAGCTGCAGTCGATAGGATAAACGTAGTAGGCTTTAAGTGTCTAGGGCTGAACTTACCTCCTGCGTAGGTGCCTGCGGGACACATGCCGCATGTCCTATTTACGCAATGACGCGCCTGTTTTGGTGAGGGTATGAGCCGGTCCAAGGCCAGTGCTGTAAGATTAATAGACGGCGGTAAAAAACGGGACTTCATGTTAGATCTTACTGAGTTTTATTCTAACTAGTGCTATAAGTGGATAAAAGCAGTTACATACTCGTCGGTGCGTTACGTGGACCGTGTACTCCTAACCTAACTCATATCTGAGCCTACATGGGAACACAGACTACTTGTATGCTTTAGCGTTGCTTGAAGTACCCCCTCACAAGTTGGCGAACACAAAGCGGCTGCAACCGCACAGAAAACAGAGCTGCATATTTAAATGTACGTGTCGATCGTTTAGCGAGGGTACACGTCCTAATAAGTGTCTCCTATGGTTGCTGCAAGGTGATTTACGTACGTAATTTATTTCAAAAGATCTATCGGTTTCGTTGGAGGACATCTGCTATGGACTAGGACACCGGATCAGGTCGCAGAAATGCATTTCCCTTTAAATGTTTTACTTGTCGTTTGTTTTATTATTTTGCGTGTCCTATAGAACGACCGTTTTCAGAATTAGAACGATAGCGTACATATTATTCCGTATTATTTATCCGCTACCAAGGATGCTTCCACCTGATTTTCATACGCGTTATCTAATTTTATTAAGTTATTTAATAAAAGACAACAGATGCATATATTGTACTAAGATTTAACTTAGCAACACCCTTTATCTACCTCGAAGAAGCTATTTTTCTTATTGAAACAAGTTGTCCACGTATAACGCTATTATTTAGTGAGATTTTACCTACTACTCCCAAATGACACCTTCTGAGCTTGCAGTGGAAAATTTTTATATCTAAGGAGAACTCCACTTTGGGCACCCCTTCATTTTAATCATAAGTTACCACTTGCACTCCTTTGACAGGTAAAATCTCTTGACAGATTAAGAGCATTCATTTTGCAACTATGTGACTGTTTGAAATGTCTAGATACTTTTGCTATATTCCACATACAGCTAACTGTTGTTGCTAGAAAAGGAAGGACTATTAAGAAAAGGAAGATAATGCCAGCACACGATATCACCGTAAGCGGATTCAATGCCGAAAAAAGATTTTCGCAGCGGGGCACAGTTATATATTGTGAGCAGCTCTTTTGACTCTATCTCGGGAGCAGCGAGCCTGTACAGTTGAAACGAGGACTTAGACAGTTTCAAATCTAAAACAGATCGAAAAATAACAATATAGGCAGCATCGGCGGATTTGTTCGCGTAGTCATGTTTTTATATTAACAAAAAAAAAAAAAAAAATAGGGTAACTAATAATAACGCAATTGTGTATTACAAATAGTTCATGAATAAGAATCATCGATAAAACGATCGTTGATTTTCATGAATGAACTAACATTTCGAAACAGCTTCTTCAATATGTGACATTCTATATGAAGTACACTTTGTTTCAAGCGATTCGATTAATCGAGACATTAGTGATAGTTTACAACAAGTTAAAAAGGCAACGATTTGATTTCCTTTGAACACAGTCAGTAGGCAGCCGGTCGTCATTGGATGATGGAGACTTGAGCTGCACCGCATATACCAGTGAATTTTGGCGCTTCATTGCCAAAAGTTCGCCGTCACCTGCCTTGTAGCGTATAATCTTTGAGGACGCCTGCTTCACCTCTATTCATCTCTGTGTTTCCCGCTTATCCATAAAACGGCGAGGCAGCAGGACTTGCGACGGTCGCGGCGTCAGCCTACCGATGTGAGTCTCTTTCCATGACAGTGCAAAAATTTAAGTAACAACGATGTCTCTACTGCTATCTATTTTGTAACTGTCGCCGTCCTACCTGTCACTGTCATATAGGAATCGTGTACGACTACCCGTTTGCCTCCCACCCATACGAAGCCCTCTTTAAAATATTAGAAATGAGTCATTTTTTCATCTTTGTCAAGCAAGACTTACGTTATTTCTATTTTTTTTTTCCAGCTTTGCCCTTGAATATATATCTCCATAGAATGCCCGTCTGAACTAGTTGACTCTGAAGAGTCGAGTCTGACCTGCTCGCTTGTGTCGTTTGCATCGCTTTGAGGTCGTTTGCGTCGCCATCGTTCATCAGCGGCGTCTGCTGAGCCGTCAACAGTAATAAAAATCGGAAAGTAACAGTTGCTAATACAACTACAATGACGATGGCAAGGACAGCAGCGACGGTACTGATACCGTCATCTGCGGCAATGTATTGTAAAGCCCAGCCTGTGTTGAGTGCAGTTGATGCCGATGGCCTCAGGTGCGGTTGACTTCGATTTCACCTTCGTAGTTATTTCGTTACTTTTTTCGACGTTCATTTTCTAAGACTTGGATGGATATCTACCACCATCTACCGGCTTTCAAAAAATCTGGGCTGGAGCAGACTTGAATTAGAAGTTGGGAAATCTAGCTGAATTCCATAGAGCTCTTTTACTGTCGCTGCCAGAGTCACTGGTACACTCTAACGATACAACCGCACACGAGCATGTACGTATATAAGAGGCAAGGGCGTTACGCGAAACCGCAGGGCCTTCGAGAGCCGACTCAGACGAAAACAAGTGATGTCCTTATGTATGTGAAACAGCATCGTGTCTTCTAGGCCGCGACGGCGCTGACTGCAGTAGCGACTTTTCTAATGACTAAGTTTGGATAAGCCGGCAAGGCATGGGCTGAATTATGAACCACTTTTAGTAAAGTGGACATGTTACATACAAGAATGTTAAAGCGAGCTACGGGTTTAGAATTGACATACAGTGTGGAGGACAGTGATAACGAGTGCGGATGATCTTACTAGATATGACGGCAGACAGCTACGAACGCCGACGCTGACTCGGCCGTGCAGGTTATGTTAACTAGCGATCATGATGATGCTAATTTTACGTTAACTGTTGTCGAAAGCAGTTATCAAGGAACCCTTCCACAATTAGCGTACCGGCGGTAATTGATTGATGAAACACACGCCATGGAAGTTTTGTTTGAGACACGCGCAATGCCAGACGCGAATGACAACTGCAGTAATAAGCCTATACACTTCTCTCATCATGGCCTTAACGATAAGACCATGTATTAAGCTGTTGTAGACACGTGACATTACAAAGGTTACAACTTCCCGTATATAATCCGTGTAGTTCTGGAGCATAGTGACAAAATAGAACCTCGTTATTGGCGAAGAGTACATACATTATCGCATGACAAAAAATCTTATTTTTTTTTTTATTAGTGTCTTCTCCGCGTTGCTGCAGCGAACAAGCCGCTTGAACTGCTTAAGTATTGTATCTAAGATACTTGGGTATTATAATCGAATGAGAGCCATAATAATTTATCAGATATTCTGACCTTGTGCCCAAAGCAAAACTAGAATAGCTAAATACTTTTCCGATAAATATCTCACGCAGGTTCAAACGATGAATACGGAAAAAGCACAACAACCTGGAAGGCTTAACAAACTCATAATTATATATACTACGAATTATCTGAAAATTACCACACGCACTAGACACCAAGACATTCATATGAGCAGTTCGACTTAAACCTTACTTATTCATACTGCTGAAAATATTGAAGCGGACACAAGGAACCGGTTCCCGTTGAGGGACCTACAAAATGGGTTCTAAACGTAGTAAATTAGACACGTACTAGAACTGTCAATTTAAAGCACCTGTAAAATAGAACCTATTTTAGGATAGAGTGCGCTTATTTTTTACGTGAATACCTGATTCATTGGTTACCTAAGTAACTTAACCAATCTGTGCCTTGGCTGGATTTTTGAGTCGTGGGTCTCGCAGGTAAATAAACACATTGACTGCCTATGTAAATTGAACACATTATCAAACGGTCTGCGCGATCAGAGAAATTATCCTATAACTATATTTTTGATGATCATCTTATGGATGGATGATATATCGAAATATTTTTGGACATTTTTTTTAAGGCCTTTTAGGCAAACATTTGAAGACCATACGTTAGTGGAAACACCTGAATCGAAAACACAGTACGTAACATAATCGCGGATTTCGTGCCACTTAATGGCTTGGAACTACAGAGTTAGGTTATGATTGCATCGTTAGTGCAAATGTATCCATTTATTTATCTTTAACTAAAAAAAAAAACGTAATAATTTGCGTTCTGGTGCCGCTGTTGATACTTCTATTTTATAGTAAAACACACATCGTTATAATGCTTATTCACAGGAGATCAAAGATCCACAGACTTGGTCACATAGCAAAAAAAAGGCAAAAGCTCGTGAATTCGACAATAATTTCAGTATTTGAATTCTTTAAGTTCAAGCGGATTAGGGTAGAAACTCTACTACATTTGTTGCATTCTATGTAGTAACATATATATTTATTCTTATAAGGGCTGAGGCCTCAGCCCCAAGGGTTATTTTCCCTTGTTGGATGCATATTACCTATGCCTAGTTTCAAGCTAATTTCTAATTTTCAATTGTCTCGTGACGATACCAGGTTTCAGATAAATTTTACTGATCTCTTTCTATCGCGTATCTAATTCTCTCCGGACAACACACGGAAAAGCGAAATTGACAGGTAAAAATTGAGCAAGTTATTAATGCTAAACAAGCTAACTAATTACAAATGAAAACAATACTCAAAGGAATATCTGCATGAAATGAGGGCGTACAGTGGCATATCGAAGCATACGATGCTTTTGGCTGAGTTTAGCTAAAATCATTGGTGTAAATTACATTGTTTCTGTGGTAAATTGCATGAAGTAAACTGCATTTGTCCTCCGTAACGCGTGCTTACACTGTTATACAACGTAAATCCTATCTTTCATTTTTAAACAATACAAAAGCCGCGTTGTTTACCCAAAACATTCCTAAATTAATAGCAAATTATAAACCCAGTCACTAGAAGAGTAGCTGACGATGTCAAGTTAGCTATCGGCAAGCGCTGATACGGCTGTTTCCTTCTGCCGTTAGGCTTAATCCTTCACTCGGCAGTTTCCAACTTGCAAAGGAGAAAAATAAGCTCCAGAAGAATAAATAGAAAATTAATGTAGTGGGTTAGGTTGAGTTGTTTTATGTATACACAAAA